CGTGATCAAAGACTGATTCATTTTTCAGTCCGGTTCGATCTTAAAAAAAGACCAGGTCTTTTGGACTGGGACCGGATCGGACTGGACTAATCCATCTCTAAGTATACATTGATCCACGACATCAATTATTAAATTATCAATGATGTTTCGCCAATTCATAATGTATACATGTCAAATTTAATCCAAAACGTTAATATGTGGTACTTCGTCAGACACACGAATGTATCCTCGAAACATGAGATCGCAATTTTTCGACATAGCAACTTCACGGTTAAAAAAAAATACAAAACCCAATTGTTAAATCTTATATATTTTTGTAGCATAAAAAGAATAAAATATAAAATATATATACCATTTCCATACTTATCTAATACAATAACACCTGCTAGACCACCAACTTTCTTATTCTCTTTAACTACTTGTTCTGCAGCATCAGATATATTTTCACCGAGGTATTTTACACGTGCAGCGACGTCGTGGACAATAGCGTATCGTATAAAACACTTTTAAATTTGTAGCGTTATTTATCTTTAGAAAGTTAAAAAGCAAATTTACATAATAAAGTTACTTACCTCCCCATATCCAGTACCACTAACACCACAAGTCTCGTTATCTGCCCAAGTTCCGGCTGCAAGCATGGGTGTATCGCCAATACGACCATCTTTCTTATTATTCATTCCACCTTTTTAAACCATAATAGTAATTCAAAAATTATCCCAATAAACAAATCAACAACCAACAGAACATACCAGTCGAAGTAGCAACCGCAATAATTCCATCTTTATCAACGGCAACAGCACCCACCGTTCCCATTGATCCAACCTCCTTATCCGAAAGAATATTCGATTCGGCCGCACTAGTTTTCGTAGTTGCGATTATATTTTGTGGTTGTAGTTCTCGTTGTTCTAATCCGTCCATATGTTGTTTCCATCGACGTTCAGTCCAAAAATATTTTGGATCAACTAATTCTAAACCTTTTTCTTTCGCGTATTCTTCGGCCCATTGAGCACCTAGAAACACGTGTGGAACTTGCGGATCAAGAAGAATTTCTTTGGCTAATTTTATCGGGTTTTTTACGGTGTAAAGTAATGTGGCGGCACCAGCTTGGTGATCTGGTGTACCGATCATGATTGATGCTTCGAGTTCATTCTATATGAATTTTTAATTTCAGTTTTCATTAATATATAGTAGATTATAAATTTAACGCTAACCTTTCCGCCAAGTGTGAATACAGATCCTTTGCCAGCATTGAACAAGGGAGAATCTATTGTTAAAAAAACTAATCAGTTTTACTTTTTTAGATTTCTCATAAATTTTTTTCTCACCTTCCATAACACAAACAGCTTCTACGACAGCATCCAAAGAACTCCCACCATTCTTCAAAATCTGATGTCCAGCAAAAAGTGAATTCTTTAACGCCTCACGATACTCTTGTTCTAATTCAAAAAGTTCTCGACGAAGGTTTCCGGCACCACCGTGGATAATTAGTGTAGGTCCATGATTGACGGGTCCTTTGTTTCCCTTTAGATACGTTGATTCAAATCAAATGTAAATGTAGAAATTTTTTCATCAAGTACAATTAAATAAAATTTACCTTTGATTCAGACATAATTTCCGAGAAATTGAGGAAACGGTCTTATCAAGATATTCATTATAATTTTCCTGATATCGATATAAGCTCTTTGAACAAAATCAAGTTTTTCCCAGATTGGGATTTTTTCTTTGATAACGATAATTAAAATTCGAGCGAGCATTCCAAGCTACGATTTATACGTAAATTCTTTTAATAAACAAAACTTTCAGCATTCTCGTTAGCATGGTAACTACAGTTTGCGCGAAATAAGCTGTCTTAGCAACTTGTAGCGTGTCCATTATATAATTATTTTGTGCATAGATTATATAACATGAAGCAACTAAACGAAATCCAACGTTAAATTTAATTAATTGCATTAAAATACCATAATTCTTTTATAATCAATTTGAAAGAACGAGAGGACAAACTACTTTCCTCTGTATTAATAGGTTGTTAATGGTTGAGTCGGAATTAGCTTACAACATAATGGAGTCAACCTAAATCCAAGCCAATAACGCTCGGGATTTCTTTGTTTACTAACTAGAAATTTTGAACAAATTACCATGCATAAATTATAAAAAAGAAAAAGGGAAAAGCTAATAAATCTTCCTAACATAGCGATAGTATAATTTATGCCAAATAGCTTATCATCATATTTGAGACTGCAAACCAAAGGAATATTCAAATAATGTATGATTAAACAATCATTGTGTCACAACATTTATGGGTCAAATGCATTTACTATGAAGATCAGAAAAATCTCTCGTATAGTAAATTTTCTATTTTTATATATAAAAATTATAAAGTATTTATTTCATTCCTTTATAAACTTTTTTTCTCATATATAAACATATATTTACTTATTATTAAAAGTTTATTTCTTTACTTCAATCTATTAGAATATTTATTCAATTTATTAGCAATAATTTTAGTTGAAAGAAAATCTTCATCATAAATTTGTTAACTTTGAAAAAATAAAAAACGATCTGCCCTAATGATAATCCTTTCAAGCCAAACAAAGAAAAATAACAAAAAACTTACCTTCAATACTTACCCTCATCCAAATAATTTATTATAAATTTGCCAAAAAGTCAATACAAATCTTACCTCGCTAATAGTCAACCTTTTTCAGAAAGACGCGTGTAAAATCTAACAACATCTAAAAAATGAGTTCTGCAAATTTTTAACCCCAATTGGTCCAAACACATCCACGCCAAGAAAACGAAAACCAAAAGATCGTAAAAGGTTTCAAAGCACCAACTGCTTTGCCAAGTTATGAATTCATGAAACTGAATTTGATCAACAATTCAAAAAAGAATCGTTTCTTATTTTTTACTCTTTCTTGATCGAGTTTCAAAATGCCTCGATATTTTATCTCGAGCAACTTGTGCAGCTCGATGACCACTCTTTCTGGTAGTGGTGGTGGTGGTAGGTGTGGGTGTGGGTGTGGGTGTGGGTGTGGGTGTGGGTGTGGGTGTGGGTGTGGGTGTGGGTGTGGGTGTGGGTGTGTAGGTGATGGTGGTGGGAGCGGAGTTTTCAATTCTTATTTTCTTATGAATATTGCGAACTTCCTCAAGTTCGATTTTTCTTTTTATTCCAGGTGTTGTGGTGGATGTGAGAGTAGTGGTGATGGTTGGAGTGGGTGTGGGAGTGATGGTTGCGATGGTGTTGGTGGTGTTGGTGGTGGTGGGATTGATGATGGTGTTAATGGTGGGAGTGTCGATGTTGGTGGTGTCGATGGTATTATTATTACCTTCTACCATTACTAAAAAATGAGATAAATGCGATTGTAGTCGTGCATCATATTGGTAAGTATCATCTTCAAGAAGTTCTTCCATATACGCCCGAGAACGATTTCGATCATTAGCTAATTTTTCATCAAATCGACTGTTTTATGTGTGCTTTTACGAGTTTTAAAAATAACTCGAAATTATATTTCATCCTCGTCTGGTCACCCATACATATTATACCAAAAAACATTATTGGAAATTTCTTCGTCGTCATCCGGAAAAATCGTAAGTTTTTTGGTATCTCTGTTATAAGAGATAGATTCAATCCTATCTAGAAAAATACTTATCGCCTTTTTACGCTCGTCCTATAGATAATACGAAAAATAAATAGGAATAAATATCAACAAGTACAACAGTAATATTCGATAAATATTACCTTTGAGAAACCCGAATTTGAATTTGTTTCACGAGGAATTAATGGAAAAGAAGCACCCTCAACCTCCTCTACCAATTCTTGATTTATTTCCCCACCATTGACGAGGTCATCCTATAGATGTAAACCGCATAAGTGAATTTGTAAACAGCAAATAAACATTAGAACTATCGTAATATAATACCATATCTTTGTTATCCGAGAGTATTTTACTTTCATTGTTTGTTAGAGAATTTAATTTCTCTAAATCGGATACTATGATTGTTTTTTAAATTACGAATTCGATGAAATTTATTTTTGCCATCGCAATTGACTCTGATTAACGGTATTTAGCGATGATACAATATGGCTTTTCCTGTGAATTTCCTTTTATGATTGAATACTTGTTAAAGATAGAACAGGCATGTTTCCTAAGTAGTGATTCTAACCGGTTAACCCCTTAACCGGTTAACCGCTAGTTAACCATTTCTTATATAGTTAATCATTTCTAGATATAGATATCATTGCTAAATAAGAATTCATTAGTAATGATTGTTCTCAGCTCATCTTCTCAAGTAAATTAGGCAAATATGTATACAAAAAAGAAATCTGTGTAAGTGAAGATATAATTAGTAAAGAGGAATAGGAGAGATTATTCTGAATTATATAAAATTTCTTTAAGTCATAATCATATATTATAATAATGATAACTTAGCATCACATATTAATTAACTAATCAAATTAGAACAAAAATGAAATAAATATAATATCTTAAAACTAACTTGAAGATACTAATAAAAAAATCTTAGTGTAATAATTTTGATTGGATTATCTTTCTTTTAGTTTAGATCTTTATTTTGTGTTATCTGTATTACAGATTAACTTTATATTACATTTTTAAGAAGATCAATTTCATACTGGATATATAAATGATCATTATACATTTAATACATTAGATATAGTACATTGTCATATAGATAATTATCATATATATCTATATTATTACTTTTAATAATTCTTTATTTTCTTATTCATTTTTTTTTAATTATTATTTATATTTCATTATGTATATCTATATTATTACTTTTAATAATTCTTTATTTTCTTATTCATTCTTTTTAATTATTATTTATATTATTTATCATATTATTAATTATTAAATTATAATTAGTTATCTTCTGAAAATGTGAATTAAATTAATTAATTTTGTTCAATTATATATAATTTAAATTAGAAATTTGTATTAATTTATTTATATTTTATATTTATTTCTTTTTTTATAAATAAGATCTCTTTATTTTATACTTTTATTTTAAATTTAAATATTTTTAAATAATAAAAATAATTATAAGTTATAAAATTAAAATTATTTATATTATATTTTATTTTATTTATAATCATTAATAAAATAATCTTATAACTTAATAGTAATAAATATGATTATTATAAAGATTACTTTCTAATATCTTACATTTTATATATTATATACATATACATATATTATATATCTTAGTTTTAAATTATTAAATTTTAGTAAAGATGAATTTAAAATAATTTGAATAATTTATACAGAGCATGATTGAACTTATCAAGATAGTAAAAAAAAAATAGTTTTTCTAATTTCAAGTCTATATCTTATCTTTCAATTAAAATATCAACCTACTTAGAAAAGCTAACTGAAAATATATTTATCTGGATTAAAGATATTATCTTAATTAATTATAATTTATAATAGTTAATTAGAGAATTATAATTAAGTTATAATACTATCTTTTATTTAGATCATATAAGTTAAAACTATATTTCAGATTCAAGAAATTACAAATAAACAAACTCAAATATAATATATCATCATCTTCTTAATTGATGAAATCTTATATTAGTATCTTAATAAATATAAGACAGATAATAATATTATATCATAAATTGGTAAGAACTTGTTATAGCACTTAGAAAAGCTTTTTAATTATTATATTATTAATAGTATTTTTATAAATAGTTTTATCTTCTTTATCAAACTAAATCTGTACAAGATTATGATACAAAATTCAAAAATATAGTTAATTAAATTACAAATATAAGTGATTTAGATCAAGTTACTTATTTTATAAAAGGATTAAAATTTATTACAAAGATGAAGTCAGTTATCAGATATCAGAAATCTTAGAAAAAGCTTGAAAATTAGTAATTAAATATAATATTACTATATATAAACAAGATAGATCTCTAAATTTATCAAGTAAATATAATAATAATAGTTATTATTCACAAAATCAATATAAAAGTTATCAAAATAATAGTCTATTATTAATAAAACTTGATCAAGCAGAAAGTTATTATAATAATAGAAAGAATAATAATAATTAGAAGAATAATAAATCAAAAGATATATATTATAACTATAACAAATCAAACTACCTCACAAAGAATTATTATTCCAAATCAAAAACAAAAATAGCAAATATAAAAGATAAGAATTTTTATAATCTTATGAAAGAGTAAAATTTACTCATCTAAAAAATAAAAAAGAAAGACTATCAAAGTTTAATAGCCAAGTAAATAATAAATTAGCATAAATATTACTAGATAATAATATATTTAGAAACTTTATTAATGAGAAATTTATTCAAAAAAATAAAATTAAGTTACAAAAAATTATATTAGTAACTTTTAAACTTGTTAATGATAAAAAAATAACTATCATCACTATGATAAAGATTGATAAACCCAAGTTAAATATATATAAAATATATAAGATAAATTAAACTTGCAAAGATATGATCTTATTTTAAATAAAATCTTGATTATTTCATACTAATTTAACTATAGATTAAAGAAATAATATCATAATCTTTATCTATAGTTCAAAGATAATCAAAATTCAAATAAATAATAAAATTAAGTCTAGTTCTAGTTATAATTCAATATATATATTAAGATAACAAATTATAAATCTACCAGCAAATACAGAATTTTTTATAATATATTTTAATAATACTGAAAATAAAGAAGAAATAAAAGAAAAATAACTATTACCTAAAATATTAAAAATAAAAAAGAAGTATAAAGATATATTTTCTGAAATTTTATCAAATTAACTATTATCAAAAAGAGTAATAAATCAAAAATTAATCTTATTTTAGAATTTAAATTACTATTCAAATCTATCTACAAATTTTTATTTATAAAAATAAATAAGCTCAAGAAATAATTAGCTAATCTTATTCAGAAAGATTTTATTTGTTCTAGTATCTTATTTTTTAAAATATCAGTTTTATTTATATATAAGAAAGAAGATATATTAAGATTATATATAAACTATAAAGCTTTGAACAAAATTATTATAAAAAATTATTATTTTTTATTCAAAATTAATAAGCTTATGAATAGACTTATAAGATTAAAGTACTTTTTAAAGCTAGACTTATATTTAGAATATTATTAAATATATATTATAAAAGAAGATATATATAAAATAATATTTAAAACTTACTATAAATATTATAAATTTTTAGTTTTATCTTTTAGTCTTATTAATATATCAATTACTTTTATAATACTAATAAATAACATATTTTATAATTATCTAGATAAATTTGTAATTATATACTTGAATAATATTCTAATATATAGCAAACTTAAGAAAGAATATATATAATATCTTTAGATAATACTTAAAATATTTTATAAATATAAATTATATGCTAAATAAAAGAAATATGATATAATTCAGTAATATATAAAATATCTTGAATATTTTATCTCAACAAAGGAAATTTCTGCTAATCAAAAAAAAATAACTACTATTAGAGATTAGTTAATATTAATTAATATATCAAAACTTTATTCATTTTTAGAACTTACAAGTTATTACAGAAAGTTTGTTAAAGAATTCTTAGTTATAATATTATTATTTATAATACTTTTATATAAAAATCAATATAAATAGTTTATCATAATATAATAAATATTTGAAACTCTCAAGTAATATCTTATATTAATATTAGTTTTATTATTATCAAATTTAAAATTATTATTTACAGTTATCATAAATACTTTAAATTTTATTATTAGAGCTATGTCAAGTCAAAATCAGAAGAAGAATGATCAATTAATAGCTTTTAAATCAAGAAAACTTTCACTTACAGAACAAAACTATCTGATTTATAAAAAAGAGTTACTTACAATAATATATATTATTAAATTCTGAAAGTCATATTTAAAAAATCAAAAATTTATAATAATCACAAATTATATCTTTCTAAAATATATTAAAATTCAACATAATCTTTCTAAAGATAGATTTATTAATTAAAAACTTTACAAGCTAGTAATTTTAAAATTAAATATAAGTCTAGTAAAGATAATATAATCATAAATACACTTTCTTATCAATTACACCTAGTAAATATTTTAGTTATTATTATTAATTTAATTAATAAAAAAGAATTAATTAGAAAATATCAAGAAGATAAATATTTTGCAAAAATTATAAAGTTCTGAAAAATTTTAATAATTCTATATATATCTAAGTAATAAGATAAGACAAAATACTTTGAATTGAAAAAAGATTTATTATATTTAAAGAATATTAATTACTTAGTTATATCAAATAACAAAATTTTAAAAGTAAAATTACTATTTGAATTTTATTATATACTTATAGCAGAATATATTGGAATTAATAAGATATATATAATAGTATCTTAATAATTTTATTAGATTAAAATAAATAAAAATATTTATAAATATATTATTAATTGTAAATCTTGTTAGTATAATAAAAGTAATAATCAATAACTTTTAGAATTATTTTAGTTTCTTATTATATCTGAAAAAGATAGAAATATATTACTATAGATTTTATAAGCCAGTTATTTATTATTAAAATGAAATATAATATATAATATAATAGTTATATTTATAAATAAATTATTAAAAAGAATATACATCACACCTATCATAATTATAGCAACTGTATCTAATATTGCAAAAATATTTTTTGAAAATATATTTAAACTATATAGCTTATCTATAATTATAATATCAAATAGAGATATTAAATTTATAAGTTATTTTTGAAAATCTCTTTTTAAACAACTTAATATTAAATTAATAATATCAATAGCAATTCATTTTCAAATAAATAGTCAAATAGAAAGACTTAATAGAATATATTAAAAATATATATAATATATCAATAAAATA